ATGTTACTATGTGATGAGCACAACATACAAGTATAGACTAAATCGCAAGAATTGGAACAAAACGACTCATGTTTGTTTTCGAAAATGGTTTGAAAGTGCCACTTTCAAGTGGGCTAAAGCGCGGATTTGCCACCCTCAAGTGGGCTTAAAACATGATTTTGCCACTACGCAAAGTGGGCTTAAAACTCACATTTGATGAATTGTTCTAATTCAAGCAATGAAGCCTTCATCCACAGGCATTCATGCAGTTTAGCATTTAAGCAAATAGCCTCATGGCAAGCATGCTATCATGGCAACACTCACACTCATGCAAGCATGCTAAAGCGTAAAACTTACAATGTATTCCAAGCCAAAACAAAAGCTAGTTAAAAATATGCATAATCCTAACTATATAAGATGCCTAATGAAACACATACAATTTGCGATTAATAGGCTTGGCTTTCTAAGATGGCATATGAATGTAACAATTTGATACATGTATTCAAAGAAGTATTGAAATACGATGCAGTTTGAATGATGAGCCGAACCCGGTGCATGCAATACAAATGAATGATGCAGACATGCGAGCATAAGGTATGCTAATTGAAACGTGCCCTAATCTAACCATAAAAAATGGGTAAATAAAAGGGAGAAAGACGTGGGGTTGGAAGACATGCACACACACACGCACACTTATTACAACACTGCGCCCTCTCGAATAAGGGTCTGAATGAATAAGCTAAGCTACACTAAGCTAAGCTAATTATTACAAACCAACTAATTAACTATTCTACCTAATTAATTATTACAACACAATTGCATAACTATCTATGCTAAGCTAATTAAAATATTACAAGATAGATTAAACTAATTAATTACAACACAATTGCATAACTATCTATGCATAACTATCTATGGCTGATCGGCTATGATTGGTGGCCATCGATCACTACTGGTGGCCGGTCGGTTGGCTTTGGTGGCCGGTCGGCTAGTACATGTGGCCGGTCGGCCACTGATCTCCTGAACTTCCTCCTTTTGCTGCAACAGAGAGCAAACAGAGGCATGGTAGTGTATTTGCAAGGAAATGTGTGTACTACCACCCTCCTTATCATTTCTCAAGCTTAAAGGAGTGTGGCACTTGACTCTCAAGCCACCAATAGAGTATTTTCAATGCATGATGGCCAAAGAACCAAGCTTGTACAAGCGTAATGAATGCGCACATAAGACTCAAAGAGCCTCCACCTTATCATGCATGATCAAGGGTGTCGGCGACCAAGAAACGTGAGCACGTTTCATCATTATGAGTATGAAACATCCCACATTTCTTGTGTTTGGATTAATGTCCAATCCAAACACATGCAATGCAACACAAATGCTTATCTTGTTCATGTTTTACTTTGCTCAATTCTTGTTTACACATTTTATATTACCGATTAGTCCTTTAACCGATTAAGTCCAATGTGAAAGTCCTCTAATGAGAGAGGGGTTAGCCAAATGATGATTTAAGACATGAGAGAGACCATGCCTTTGACTAGGAGGAACCCTCAAAAGAGAGTTAAAGCCATTGAGCACAAGCTCTATCTCAAGCTTAAACACAACCATAAGGTTAACCAACCCTCAAAGCAAATGGAAAAATGAAGAAATGAGGGAGGATGCAGAATTTCAGTGCTGAAATGGCATGCTAAAGACACTAAACCATGCAAGCAACACATACACAACATGTTTAAAGCCAAAAGCATTAAAGCTAGTGAAGAGCATTACACAAGAGGCATGCGATATCAAGTTTAAATGACCAAACCAACTCTGGATAGAGCTTAAACATGCCAAAACAGTAGCCAAAACATGCTGAAATTAAGGCATAGAAAGCAAGAAAAACATGCTCACATGTTGGCTCACAAACAAGGCTCAATGCACAGCTCTCAAAAGCAATGAAAGTGTGAAATATGTGAGAGAATGACAGAGATATATGCACTGAAATCACATGTAAAATGATGTTATATCATGCAAACATCTCATGCAAGATATGTTAGAGGCCTCAAAACACAAAGCTAGTGAAGGCATTTACACTACAACCATGCAAGGCTAAGTTCATAAGACCAAGACCACTCAAAACAGAGCTAAAGCATGACAAAACATGAGCAAAAACATGTTGAGATAGAGCTAACACAAACTAGAATGATAGGCTAACTCATTAGGCATGCTAAGCTAGTAAGCATGATTACACTACAAGTGTAAGAAGCAAGCAACAAGTGGCTTAACCAGCCAAAAACAGAGCTAAAGAAGGTCAAAAAAGTCACAAAAACATGCTGAGATCATGCCATGAGATGGTAGAAAAACATGCTCACATGTTGGGCCATCAACACTTGCAAAGAAGACACAAGGAGGGGAGGCCACCCCCTCTTATTTTGGACCTCAAAACCAACGTTTTGCCACTAAAATCCCCCTGGAATTTAGTGGATAAAAGGCCAAAAAGTGGTTGTTTGAAAAGCTTTAAAATATGGCATAACTCTTAGCAAACAAGCAACAAAAAAGGGTGGACCACCCCTAACTCCAAAAGGGCCTTAAACTACCATTTTTAGACCTTAAAAATAGAGGTTTTTGTAGTTGAAAACTTGGCCAAAAACAACATGCAAAGGTGGCCAAACAAATAATTAAAGCAAAGCTTAAAAGGGGATAAGGCTTTACCTTTGAAGCACAACAACAAACAGCAAAGATTCTAAGCCAAAACCAAGCTTCAAGGGACCTCAGCTCCAAGGTGAAGGTGTTTGGCTAAAGATCTTAGTGCAAATGTGTAGAGAAAACTCACTTTTAAGCACAATATATATATATATATAGAGAGAGAGAGAGAGAGAGAGAGTGAAATTTTTGCTCTGAAAATTTCTAACCCCCAAATGGGGGAGAGACCCCCCCATTATACCGAAAAACAAGCCAAAGGCTTGCCTTCATCCTTCCATACACGTGTATGGAGATTAGCCTCAGTGCTTACCAGCTGGCACAAAATATCTAAAAAATATCTAAAAAAGGAGAAAAATGGCCGTCGGCCATCATTGGTGGCCGACCGGCCACAAATGTAACCAACCAGCCATCAGCATAGTCGACCAGCCACCACTGATGGCCGGCAGGCACAAGCCATGGCTGATGGACACTAGAGATGGCCGACAAGCCACCCTCTCCTCCAGATGCAAAGCACAAAACTCTTGGTCCACAACCAAGCACAAAACAAACAAGTTAAGAGGCTCCAAGGCAAGGCACTCAGCCGAGACCTTCAGGGACTCAAAAAAAACATGAACATGCGAAATCATCGGGTGTTCAAATGATGACGTCCAAGTCTTGAGGACGGTCAAAAATGCGATGTCTACAGTATGCCCTATAGGGAACGACTTTTGTAAAGAATCTTCCTTGTTGGGGATGGAGTTAATTTAAAGGACCTCTTTGGTACTACCAATTTATACCTTGGCTGGCGTTAATTTAAAGACTACTACTTGCTTGTTTCAAGCATAATCAGTATCTGCTTGTTGATCTCTCTCATGGTCTCATTTCTTATTGGGCCCAGTAGGCTCATTTTTGGGCCTAATTTCGATAATACGAACCATTCACATTTTAAGATTTGTTGAGTATATCATACCTGTAAAACATCAAGTTGATCAGATATCAAAAAACATGTGTTCGGAAAAATATTTATCAAATATTTTTAAAAAATGATTTTTAGTTCGATGATCCGAACACATAGTTTATGATATCCGATCAACCTGATTTTTTACAGGTATGATATAGCTAACAAATCTTAAAATGTAAACGGTTCGGATCATTGAAATTAAGCCTGAAAGTGGGACCAATGGCCCAGTAAATAGAGAGACAAAGAGAGAGATCAAGAAGCGGATCCTGATTCGTTTCGAGCCACCTGTGCTTAGGTTTACTATTGGAATCATATAAATATAAATTATTCATAAAAATAAATAAAATAAACAAATATTGGTATAATAAGTTGTAGGACGTCAGATTCCCTATTGTCCATAATATAGATTGGGTATGTAAAATTTATCATGAGTCTTGTTTTAGTGATTAAAACTTTTTATTTTGTTAGATATTTAATATATTTTATTCATAAAAAAATTGATCAATCTAATAATTGCAATAAATTTAATTTATCATATTTTTTTTAAAAAATATAATTATCACCATTTTTTAAATAATTAACTTAATAATTAAATAAATTATGATTATCAAATTGATTTAATTTTTAAAAAGGCTTTCAGTTTATAAATCCAATTTTAGATTTCTTCTATCTAAAAGTCCATGTGTCAAATTACTTTCCCAATAAGGACATACTTTTGCCAAAGACCAAACTACGTATATATATACATATACTCTACCGTTCAAACCCTAATGCAACAAACAAATATCAGTCTCTCTCTCTCTCTCACTCTCTCTCTCTTCTTCTTCTACTCCCTCTATGCATCCATATATATAGGGACGGATGCAGGATTCTAATGTCGGGGGGAGGGGGGCCGAGTGTAATGAACTTGTGATATACAATATCAATTTCTACCCAAATATCACAAAAATATATAATTAGATGTTTACATTCATCGTATATAATTACAAAATATTATCAAAATACAATTAGATATGTTCTAGTAAATCCATATTAATTTTCAAAAAAGCAACTATTTGCTCTACATATCTACTTAGGCATCTAAAGTTGTGCTCGACGTTCTTTCAAAATATAAAAAGCATCTATGATGGAATCTACTTCAAAATCTCGAGCAATGTCTTTCTCAACATATGTTAACAAGTAGCTTTAAAGAAAATCATCCTTCATCCTATTGCGCAATCTAATCTTTACAATTTTCATGGCCGAAATTGCACGTTATGTTGTTGCCATAAAAACTGGTAAAGTTAGAACAAGACGAATTAATCTATCGACAAGAGGATAAATTGTTGGCTTCCTTGTTTTTACCAACATTTGGCACAAGTCAGAAATTGTCAATAGTTGCTAAAACTCAGGATGTTTAAGGATGTCAATCTCGCAATTTTGCATGGAATTTCTTGCTCTGTAAAGTCATTAGGATAAAATTTATCAAATTGGAAATAGATCCCAAGTGAGAACCCCATCGAGTATCTCCAGCCCTTTTCAATGTCCCAACTTGATTTTTGCCTTTACTAGTTTCAACTTCATCAATGGCAAGTTTTGCTGCAATTTCTTTAGCTTGAGCAACTTTCAACTGATCATGCTTTTACAAGAAGAGCCACATAGATTAAATGTGAGAGCCAAATAAGAAAAAAATTGGGCAATGGGTATAACCTCTCTTGTTGTCACTACCAATGCTAATTGGAGTCGACGAGAAAAGCAATGAACATCATACGCAAAATGACAGTCATGAAGAAATAAGGCCTGCAACCCAGTCCATTCTCCACGCATATTACTAGCACCATCATATCCTTGATCACAAATATTTTGTACACTGAGATTATGACAAGATAGGACAATACATATTTCTTCTTTCAAAGTTGCTGATGTTGTATCCGATACATGAACTATGTCAAAAAAATGCTCCTTTATAAAACCATCTTTATCAACAAATCTTAGAACAATGACCATTTTCTCCCTCTTTGATTCATCTCGATCTCCATCCACTATAATGCAAATTTTTCCTTCATCAATCTCCTCATGAATGAATCTTTGTATTTTGTCAAAGAAAATACTAAGAATCTCTTTTTGAATTCGATGCGAGTAGTATGAAGAATTTTGAGGAGCTTTGTGTAACACAACATCTGCCACATCCGCATTATAAGATGCCAAGAGCTTTATCAATTCAATAACATTCCCTTGATTATTAGAATCATGACTTGCATCACAACCTCTAAATGCACAAGCTTGAAATGTAAGCCATTTGATAGCATCTATCGTAGTCTTCAACCGCATATGGTTTTTTGCAACTTGTTGAGAAGTTTGTTTCTTAACTATATTCTCAACATATTGTGATCGATATATTAAATCATGGCAAGATTTAACATCAATTATGTGCGATGAATTAGGACCCTTTCCCATATGAGTTAAGAAAGCACAATTCTTTCCACTATTGACTTTCTTCCATAAAGAAAATCCATCAAAAATGAAAGCGCTAGAAGTAGTGCATCCATTCGGTTTTGTACAAAGATAGCAAGGAAGACAAAAAGGAATAATGTTTGGTTGGAGAATATTCTAGCCAATCTAGAAATAACTTGTACTAAGAAGCAAGAAAATGATGCCCATTCTTCTCTTCAAGAGGTTGATTGTTAGGTTGGTATGGTCCAAATTTGATGTAAGCTTGTCGAATCTCATCACGTTGAATTATCAAATAATCCCAAATTTGTTGTCGTAGTCCTAGATCCCGTACCAAAGAAGATGTATCAACTTCTTTGGATTCTATTCTAGGCACTTTACAAGGACGTTGTTCAGAGTTTGAAGCTTCAACATTATCAATGGAGGTTTTGTAGTTGCATTAACTTCTATATCTTGAGAGCCTCTTTTCTTAAAGAAAGAATCAATTTTTTTGTTCACCATAATTCACCTAACATTCATCTCAATTTGATTTAAGAACCTGAAAATTATTAAACAATTTTTGTTACTCACTAGGTAAGAAGCACACTACCAATATAATCTAATCTAATAAAAGACATGTCATTTTCAATGGGTAAACAATAAAAAAATTAACATAACAAGCAACGAGTCAATAGAAATATAATAAAAATTATAAATAGTTGACTGAGAATTACACAAATGGTTCCATTACCAGCATTACCAAGTTCATAGTCCAATCTAAATAATAAACCCTTACTCTTCTTCTTCTTCTTCTTCTTTTTCTTCTTCTTCTTCTTCAGAGAGAGAGAGAGAGAGAGAGAGAGAGAGAGAGAGTATTGGAGTACTGTCGGAGGAATCACAATCTTGAAAGCTGAAAGACTCGCGACGCACGAGAGCGAGATTGTGTTTTGGGTCACTGGTTTTGATGATTTGGGTTCACTGGTCATGAAATAAGAGAGAGAAGAGAAACTTCTTTGTTTTGAATATGTGATGACTACTCTAGGTAGGCTACTACAGCCTACATATGATTGAGACTTGTATCTTCTTGAGTAATCATTTTTTTTTTCTTTAGTTATAAGTAAACAACTAAACAATTTGGGCCCTAATCAGACAAAAAGGACTTTAACATATTAACAAATAAATTCTCAACTATTTTAACATTACTAAATTTAAAATAAAAAGTAATCATAGTTAAAAAAATAAATTACTATTATTATTATTATTATTATTATTTAGTATTTATCAAAAAAAATTAAATTTTAAAGTACAAAATTTAAGGGGTGGCGGTTCTTAATTTTTTTGCAAAAACTTTGGGGTGGCGAACCTATATAATTTAAAAATATTTGTGTCATGACCCAAACCCGTTCCTATAGGTTTAGTGTCATAATCGGCCAGTAATCCATGATTACCAAAGGCCTGCTTAACAGTTGACAATAAATAGGGCCAGCGGAAGCCAATAAATAATAAAATAAAACGTCTAATGAGCTGTGCGGACTTAAATGAACAAAACAAACCGTTATATCAAGTTCAAGGCATTAGGGAATTAAATCTCGTTATCAAAAGTCATAGAACAAAAACTTCATATCATTAGTTCACATTTACAGATAGTTGAATCTTGACCCAAAAGCCTTGACACATGAGAGTTTGGAACCTTGCAGTGAGGCACAATAGTTGGCTTGACAAAAACAGGGTTTGGGTCGACGCTGCTAAGTTTGTTTTGATGCTTGATCACCTACATACATATATTAAACAGTGAGCTAAAGCCTAGTGAATAAATTTCACAATAAACTCTAAAAATTACGCTGATCACAACAAAGTAATCAATTTCGGTTTCTGTTGCCTTTACAGCCCTCAATTTCAAATTTTCGTAGGATTCAGAATAGATTTTCATACGATGAATAGATATGGATTCAAAACTCTTACAAAACACATAATTAGCATTCGAATCACACATGGCACATATCACAATTAAAATTGAACACATAATTAAATTAATATAATCATGATATGCATTTTGGGGTCATTACAATTTGTAATTTTATTACTATATCTAGGGGGTTTTTTAAGAATTTTGGGCTGGCGGTCATCCCTGCCAGCCCCCATCGGTCCATCCTTGTCATATACATCTCTATATATATCATCTCTTCGATCATCGTTCTCCGAAACCATCATTGTCGGCCTAGGGTTTCTGTATCGGACGATAGACTCATCGGAGTTTTGATGATGGATTTGAGGAAGCTATGGCACCAACTCACTCCTTTGCCACCACACACTTTATCCCCCTTCAACGGTGATAGAAGCGATAGTAGTGTTGGTGCTAGAACCAGATTTTCTCTCTCCCTCTCTCTATATATCTATATACTTTTCAATAAGATCTATATTTAACTATATAGTAGATCTAGAGGATCTCGGTGTTGTCGTCATCTATGACGCTCTTGTAGCGGCGGAGGCGGATTTGGAGAGCTAGAGAGAGGGGAGTAGAGAGCTCTAATAGGGACAACGAAGGAGAGGTGGAGGTCTTTGTAAATGGAGATTGGTTTGATGAGCTTGAAAACGCGGATGATGAGAAAGACCGAACTTTCAGACATTTCCCACGCAAGGTTTATCTTCCCTATTTTTCATATCGAAAATGGCCTCCAAGTTTGACAACATCAAAGTTGAAATCAAAATCTCTCTCTCTCTCTCTAGAACTTGACACAATTGGTAACTTCGATTAATGTATGTGAGTTTCGCGATATATATATCTAAATTATATTTGTCAAAATTCATAGATTGGTGAATCAAATTCATCTATTGAAATGCTAGTTATCAAATCATTTCCTAATTTTTATTTTAACTTTATTTTTCCATAATTGCAAGGATTGTGCTCTACTTTGTGAATGAGGTAAAGCATTTTTCGAGTGTAGTATGGAGTGTGGCTATCTATGTATGTGTATGCCTTTCCTATGGTTAAGAGAGCTCTCACATCTTCTTTGATTTTCATCTTTGTATCTGTTTATTTTGTTGTTGTGTTTGTGTGCATGTTTTCTCAACAACCGAACAAAGAACTACTACTGATCTGTTCTTATTTCAACACATACAAACAGTTATAAGGAGATCACAAAGAGGAAAAGAGGGGAAAATGCATTTGATTTTTGCTTCTTTGATTTTGATGATCATCTGTGGATCATCTGTGTGTTTGAGAATGAAATTTTTTTTTTTTTTGATATGTTTCTTAGAAAATTCCTTTTGCCTATGTGATTTTTGGTAATGGTTTGAACATATAGGAATTGATTGTGATTTTGTTATGCGGTTTGTTGTTGTAGCTAAAAATTATATAGATAAAACATACACAAAACATATCTCTCACAAACTTTTTACAGTCAACAACTTTGACCAAGATTAGTTCAAAAACATGTTTCTGGTAGAAGGTAGGGTAGACCAATTGAACATATAAAATATTTTGGGATAAAAAATTGAATAGTTAAATTTTTGGGGAAAAAAAATTTAACAAAAAAATTACACAAATAAAAAAAAATTAACAAATAAAAAATTTGAACAAATAAATAAGATATTTGTATTTTTTTTTTTTATAAACAGATAGATAGAGAACCTCACAGATTTTAAACGAATAAATAAAGAAACTCGTAGATTTTGAACAACTAGGGAAAAAATTCAATAGATAGATATAAATTTGAACCGATAGGGAAAAAATTGAACAAATAGAAAATAATTTGAACAGATATATATAAATTTAAACAGATAAATATAAATTTGAATTAATAGTCAAAAAAAGTCCACAGATAAAAAAAGTCAACAGATAAATTAAGGGGTAAAATTGAAAATAAAATATAATTCAAAACTAACAAAAGGACTTCTCGCCAAAGTATTTCACAAAAGATAAACCTTTTATCAATAAAAAAATATTCACTGTACCTAATACCTTATACCCTACTTAAATAGGATTTATCACCAATTTACTCTTTTTTAAAATTAAAAAAAAAAAATCAACAGCAATAGTGACAATATAGTGTTCTATTACTAATGTATATCTCTTTTGAGGGAAGGGGGATGCTACTGCTACCACTCAAAATGACAGTGTGTTTGCCTCTTACTAACGAACCCTCTACCTAAAGCACAATTATTAAGGAATTGGCCACGTCAATAAATAGGATAATTTGCAATTTTTTCCCTTTAAAGTGTGGATTGTTTTTCAATTTGATCATTGCAGATCAAAATTTCCGCTTTAATCTCTTAATTATATTATGTTTTCACATTTGTATTAACAGTGGGTACAATTTTAAGATTATATTATTGATACAAATGTGATCTGGTTAAATTGGGATATTTAGTCTAACAACCCTATTCAATTTTGATAGTGGAAGAGGTCTACAATATTTTTTTTTTTTTGTAACTTAAGGTCCCTCACCCACTCCCATATATCTCACACACACTCTCTCTCTCTCTCATCTCTATCTTCATCTCCCACTACAAAAAAATTAAATTTTTAGAGACTAAAATTTAGGGACAATTATTTTTTAGGGACTAAATATTTTTGTTGCAAAAAGTGTTGTTATTATATTTTTAACAATGAAAATTGAACATTAGTGATGAATTATCAACTTTTTGGAACCAATTTTTTGTCTCAAAAAATAAACCATTTTGAGACCAAATTATTTTTTCCTTAAAAGTCTATTTATTAGTGACATTTTCAAAATTTTGTCG